GCTTGCCAAGTGTAGAAACTGTCTCATCAGGCGAAGGCATGTAGGCAGGGCCAGCTCCGTTGGGGGCTGGGAGTGTTGGGGGGGAGGGGGGGGATTCAGAAACGCAAGACCAGGTGTTCAGCTTCTTGCCACATTTTCAAATTTTAAAGGTCGCGCTCTAGCAACAAGGCAAGAGCTGGGGCTTGGTGACTTGGCGTTTGGGCAATTCGTCTGTCCTCATTTGTCAGTTAAGATCTGAGGGCAGGAAAAGTGTGAGCTTATATCTTGTGATGGCTCGGGGTAGCGAATCAGTTCACACGAGGAGTCAACTGGTTGTGCCATGGGCTCATGATGGTTCATGAATCCCTGGTGCTGACGCGTTCTTGTTCCATTGCTTGGCCTATAATAAAATATAATGAACATACCAATTGCCGGGCTCCAAACAAGCTCCATCCACCCAAGCACCCCCTACCAGTACCAGTTGGCCAGAGGCCAGCCGACAAGGTTGGACAGAAGCCCAGAACTGAAGCATTAGATCGCTATGCTCGGATGGTGGCTGCTTGCCTATGCCGGAATTGCAAATGCTCGGCTACCATCAGCTGCCTAAACTTGTGGGGACCGCAGCGCAGCTCTGCTTTTGCCCTCCAAAAAACGGTTGGTCCACCAGTTGGGATGGACGAAATCCACCAGTTGGGATGCCCGAAATCCTCTGGATAGGCCACTTACCAGCTGGTGCCTGACATGGATATTGTCCATCCGCAGCATGGCGCCAGGGTGGAAAAACATAGCACAATCCCCGTTCCCAGTGGGGAAGGAAAGGGGACCAAACCAAACCGAGTTGTTGTTTCTTTTCATCTACCAACCCACCCAACTCTGCCTTTGTTGAGATTAGTAAGCGACACCAAGAGAAGTTGGTTGAAGAGGGGCCCAGACCTGGGCGGTTTCCGTTTGGCTTCCTTTTCAGCCGACCCCACAACTAGGTCCCCCAGTAGTACCCTTTTACCGTTTCTTTTCTGGGGGAGGGTTCCCTACTAAAATAGTCTACAGAAAAAAAATCGGGTACCCTTATTCTGACCTCTCTACTGGAGGACCTAGACAAGGGGTAGCCTCGCTCGACTGCAGCGTTCGGGCTCATGGCAAAAGTGCCTTGGGCGGAGCGGCACCGGCCGCGGCACCTGGGGGAGGTGGTGGGCAACACCGAGCAGGCGAGGAGCCCTTCGAACCGAAGCCCGGCCAGGGAGCTGAGTTCGGGCGACTGGCCGTTTTTTTTTGTTGAAATTAAGCATGGAGTTCGCAGGTTGCTTGGTTGCCTCTTTGAAACGCAGCCATGGATTTCGCCGGTTCCTTTTTGGTTTGCCTCTTTGAAACGCAACCATGGATTTCGCCGGTTCCTTTTTGGTTTGCCTCTTCGAAACCTTAAAACGAGGAGTAGCCTTCATTTTGGACATACTTCGCAAGTAGAACCATGGGTAAAGCAACTTTGCCAGGCCGAGCAGTCCAGTTCTCACCCGCGCGTGGTGATGGGATTGAGTCGGATACACCTGCCCTTTCGGCTGGGGATTTCGTGGCGTTTTTCAGGAAGGCCTGGGAAAAACTTGCCTCCAGCCCTTTTGGGGAGCTTGTGAAGGTCCTAAGCAGGGCCTCTTAAAACGGATACCCTCTGGGACGAGCTCGGCACTTCACCCAATCCGAGATGATTTAGAGGCTGATTTAGAGATGAACCTGGTGGGATTTTGGAGTTTTGGATGTATCTCTCGACTGGAATCCTCAGAAGATCCGTTGCTTCAAGTCTTTGGCCTCGCGCAATTTGCCCAGGTGGGCCATGTGCTCATTCGACAGTTGGGAGGAGATGGCACCTTACCATCTTGACGTGGAAGCAAGCGTCACCGAAAGGGGTGCGGCTCGGACGAGCCACCTCAGATGAGCCACAATCAAGAGCAAGCCTGTGTAGATGAATGCAAGTAGGGCACTACAGTCTTCTTGCCGCGAATAAGTACGGAGGGCTTTTTGCTCTGCGTAGTAGTTTTCCGTCTTTCCTTCCACCCCTTCCAGTCACCTCGATCCTCGGACGGCAAGGATAGAGATGTTTGGTTTTCTCTACGATTCTCTCTCAACAACCGCGAAGACTCAGTGCCAAGTATTCAGAGCCTTCAGGGAGTCCAAGGGCCTAAACCAAAGCAAAGCAAAACCGTGCCTGCAGCCGAACTACGCGGCGACAACGGGGAAACCAAACAACACCATGAAAGCCCAGCCACCAGCCCAGCCAAGTCTTGCACAAAGTCTTAAAGTCAAGCCCGCAAGCCAAGGCCGCCACAGAAAACCAAGCCTGACCCCAAAGCATTGCTTACCTCAGGTGGTGGCAGGTAGCGAACAAGCGCACTTGTTTGTCCACTTGCGCGAAGTGTTGCTTGCGCGAGAACAAGTTCCTCTATGAACAATGAAAAGGTTTCTCCAGTAGCTGCGAATTCCTTCTCTCTCCCCCTTTTTGTTTTTTCTTTTGGGGGGGGGGTAGCTGCGAGTTCCTCTCGTTTTTTGTTTTTTCCCGTTTTTGGGCGGGGCATCTCCGCCGCGAGCTCTTCGGGAGGTGCGGAAGCTGGCGGAGTGGCTGCGGGACTGGGATGACGTGGTCCTCAAGGGCAAGAAGAAGGAGGTCCAGGACGGACGGGGGGGGGGGGGCGCGCCGGAGGGCGCGCCGGATGGCGCGCCGGGCGGGCGCGCCCGGAAAAGCGGGCGGGGCGGATGGCGCCGTGTTGAGTACGCGAGCTAGTGTCGGAAGGACTTGGGGGCCCTTGGGTTCAAGTTTCTCTTGCCGGCGGTTTGGTATGTTTGGGGGACTAGTTGTGCTGTTTCGGGACCTTTTTTTGGATAACTATTGGTTTCTCCCGTGTTTTTTTTTGAGGCTTCCTTTTCTTGCCCTCGTCGCTGAGACCCCGAGGGCAGCGGTTTCGTAGATCCAAAGCCGCCGGCCTGGCGTTTGCGAGATCCAGCTGGCGGTGGGCTCAGGGCCGGGCTCGGAGCTCTCCGAGTTCGCTTGCAGAATGCCCTCAGACCCCTGTGGAAAGACTCGTTTCCTCTTGGAAAGGGGCTTTGTGCACTTCCATGTCAGTTGGTGAGGGTATGTGTGTTGCTATTTTCCCCTGTTGGTTTTAAAGGGAACCTTCTGAACATATGTGGTTATTTTTTCCCTGGGGGCTTAAGCGAATGGAGGACAGGCGATGGTATGGAGCAACTCAATGTTACTCGAACAGTATGAGACCTGGCCGGGCAGTCTTGTAAGGACATGGTAGTTGCCTGGACTTTTGGACTTTCCCTTTTTGTGAGTGTGGACCATTTTAGGGAAGCCCAAACATGGTTTTCAGACTTTTCTCGTTTGCTGCCTTGAGTTTGTTGTCTGGAAGCCAAAATCTATTACCTTGGATTGTTGACATGTTTTCCCCAGATTTAGGTACCCCCGGGTACAAGGAGCCCGGAGCTTTGCTTTTTGTAAATGGATGTAAATGGTATTGAGGCGTCAAAGCTGTCCCCAGACCTTCCCTTTCCGGATGTTTTGAATATGACCTTTTGGTGATATTTGACGTGAGTTTCCTTTTGCAGCGGTGTTGAAAGGGGAAGGGACTGTTTAAAATAAGGGTATGTATCTTCAACTTGGCGTCCATTTCCTGAAATTGGTTGTTTCCAGTCGGTTTGCATTTGAGGGGGACCACCCGAAACCCAGGCAAACCTCCGAGAGTGGTCCCATGTCCGGCTCGCCCACTTCCTCAGTTTCCGGACTTCTCTTTCTTTGGGGACGCCTAGGTTTGGCAAGCAACAGTGTGTCACGACTGAAATTCCGACGCCCATGAACCCCCCATGAACCCTTAGGGCATTCCCGCATTGGCCAGGACCCCAAGCGCTTCGTCCCGGAGAACCTGAACGCTGCGGCGTGCTTGGTCAGCGGGCCGCCGGGCATTGGCAAGACCACCACCTGCGCCTTGGTGGCCCGGTGTTCCCGGTACAACGTCATGGAGTTCAACGCCTCAGATGCCCGCAGCTCGGCCAAACGGGAGGCCAAACGCAAACCATCGCGGGTTGGGAAAAGTCGTTTCTGGACGTACCTGCCATTCTTTTTGCACAAAGTTTGCAAAAAGGCTGACACTCCGAACGGCTGCCTTGGCCGCTGTTGGATTGACCCTTTGCATGTAGATGCAATTTTGTATGGCACGCCATGATGTAGCTGCATATCAAGCTTGTTCGTTCAAAGTAATACTTACTTGCAGCCATCCTGGTACTATGGCGGAGGATTCCGACTCAAACGTCCCGCAAGGAAACAAATTTGGGCCCCGGGCAAGCAACACCTTTAAAGCCATCCCCTTGAACATCAGTCGGTTTTTGGACGTTTTCTCCCACCTGAGCCCCAGTCTCCCAAACCACTACGCAACCGGGGCTTTCATATTGGCGATGCAGTGGAGTTGGAGGGTGCTAGCGTTGTAGAAAATGCACTTGTGTTTCTGGACTTTGCACACTTGGGACGGGCCGGATATAGAAACCCTTTGAAACAGCTCGTGAACGTAGTTTTTGAGTTCGGCTTCAAGGGGTCCCAGTGGAAAGACCCATGAACTGTGGGGTCGCAACTCTGGAGTCCTCTTTCGAGTCTCGAGTGCGCAGCCCGGCGCCAGTCAGAAAGGTGCGTCTTTCTTCGATGGTATCTTTGGGGTTGACTTCAAGGGAAAGCACCAGACAACCCATTTTGGCCCCCCCCCACATGTAGAGACACCCCCCCCCCAAAAAAAAAGAAAAGAACGAGGTGGGAGCATCGGTGCATTTGGGACTTGATGGCAGCCCATGTAATTAGCACATTGACCTGTTCCATTGAGGGATCATTATCGATGGCACCTTACCCACTTCTCGATGGCATGTTCAGGATCATTATCGATAAATGGTAAGGTGCCATGGGTTCTGGTTCGCGATAAGGAGGGCTCCGGAGCCCTGTGACCTGTCGAAAGCATCGTGTTGCTTGAGTCTTGGCCCAGTACTTCAGCGGCTGTTCTCCACTCCTTATCGGAGTCTTCTCCATTCAAAACTCCCAAGCCCAACAAGAAATGGTTTCTTTCTGGCTGCCGCTCTGTTGGATCCTTGAGTTTTTTTGGGACTGGTTTCCCACAAACCCGCAAACAAGAAGTGCTTCGCTGGGAGCAGCCGCGGAGTGCCTGGTTTTCCATCGGCGGGTCATCGAAATTCCCGAGGAAGCAAGTTGGTCATTGACTCCATGACCAACTCCCTGGCTGGGAACCAGACCTTGACACTTGGCTTGAGGCCTGTGTCTTGCTTTTGTTTTTTTTTGCGGGCGCCTGTTTCTTGGGGGAGCTTTGAGGGCAACTAGAGGGACACCACGCATGGTTGTTTGTGGGGGGGTAGGTCCCCTGTTTTAAGGCACCATCTTTCGCGGTGCGTTCCCTTTTCCCTTTGTTTGCAACAAGGCTTGGGCTTCCTTCATTTGTTACGCGGGATCCCCAATTCTTGGACGCGCCTTACTGAGCAACCGACTCATTTCAGACTGAGCCCACTTTTTTTTTTTTGGCAAGTCTGCAAGTGGGTGGTTTGAAGGACCCTCCAGGAGCAGCTGTTTTTTGCTTTTTTTTTCTATGGCACAACCCCCCCCAAAAAAAAGAGTTGCTGGTGCGATAGGCAGGGATTGAAGGACTGACCCCTATAAACCATTCAACTGGCGGTTTCCTTCAAGGGGATCCCCAAATGACCCCAAACGGTTCATTCCATTTCACCTTCCCCACCCCTATCGCACCGATCGAAAGCCCTGCGGCGGTGGGCCCCGGCCTTGGGGTCGCGTCCGAGGACCTTCGCGAAGAACGCCAAGGGCCCGCTGCAGCGCAGCGTCATCATCATGGACGAGTGCGACGGCATGGCCGGGGGCGACAAGGGTGGCATCCAGGCGGATGCGGACGGTCGGAAAGGGGGGGGAAAAATAGTAAAAGGAGAATTCAAAGAATTATTCTTTCTACTATTTTTTTCCAACAGCAACACAACAAACAGAAAACAAAATCCAGAACAACAAGCAAACAAAATAAATAATCACAACCAGCAACAAAATTATTTAATCACAGCATACAACATTAAATAATTCAAACAAGCATACCAACAAAACAGCAACACTCTAAATCATCAAAGAACCCAAACTCAAAAACACACATCAACAAAAAACAAAACAACATACTAACAAAAAATATCATAAGAGTATCAAACAAAACAAAAACAAACAGCCAAAGCACGAAAAAATTGAAGAAGCATGCCAAGTCTAAACAACGCACTTTGAAAGAGATAAGCAAATTATAATAATTCAATCTTTACAAACGATAAATATATTACAATTATAACATATAATATTTTACATGTGATAATCATAGTATGATTAAGATTTGTTTTAAGTGTTCCAGCTCATAGTATTGATGCCTACTTCATTCCACCACCGTTCTATTTTGCTTGACCATCCTAATGTAGTTTCTTTGTCAATATGTTTATTTTTCTTTTTATGTGTTTCATACTTGTATCGAATAATTGATTGAAGAATTAAAACGTTTGCTTTCATAAAAATAAATTTAATTTGCTCAGAGTTGTTAGGACCAGTTATTTCTATTTTGTTTAGTTCTATTCCATATTCTATAACCTTACTTTCATCATTGAGTTCATCATACATGTTGTTTAGAATTTCACGATGATATAGTCTCATCATCAGTTCAACCGGTATTCCTGTTTGTTTCATTTGTTCAATTACTTTGGTCATTTCTTCTGCTGATGGATAAGGATTTATACGGATAAACCTTTTTACTTCTTCACTCTCTGTTTTCCTTTGTTCTATTAATTTATTTATTTTTTCTTCGGTTAAACCATAGACGCCTTCCATTCTTACTATAATATATTAAGTCTTTATTCCTTTAAGTCATGTTCAAAGATTTAATCATAAATATTTAAGTTGTGAAAAACCTCTCCTCCTTCGTTTCATCAGTTTCATCATATATTTTAATAGGCGTGGTGTCCCTTGTATGATTTTTTCTTCAATATATAAAACGCTATACTGACATTATAATTATAACATATAAGGGTATAAATGTATAACTCCTTTTCATATTCAATAATAAGATAAATTATTTTTTCATTTCTGTCTTTCTTTTCTTGTAAAGTTTTTTCATTGTATCGTCTTTATTCCATCTATATTCCACAAATTTCTGATGATGTTTTGAATTTAGATGTTTAAATAAATATTTGTCATCATAAGTTTTACCACAACTGCAATGGATAATAGTCATATAAATAATAAGATAAAATATTTATTTAATCTTATTATTTTCATGCATGATAGAATATTCGGAGGGCACAGCACTGGGGTTTTCTTTACAATGCATCAAACTAATTAGCTTCAATGCTCATTGATTGAAGCAATGGACGCATCGGCGATGCCTCGCGAAGCTTCGCGACATCCCGTTCCATTTAATATTAAATAGAATATGTATTTAAACTATTTTCTTTAGTAAGTTTTATTGCAGTTGATAGACTAACATCTTTAATATTCATATCAATAACTTCTTCTACACTATTTATCATTTCATTTGTATACATATCGGGATAATATTTCATAAAATTTACTAACTTTCTAAAATTAAAATCTAGGTTATTGTCATTTTCAATTGAGGACTTGGATACTACAATATTTCGTTTTTTAATTGCCGATAAAAAGTATAACATCGTATCATAATATATTTGTTCAGTGTCGGGCACTAAGATATCACCAAATTTATATATCCTCCGAATACTAGCCACTTCACTTAAATTAATAGATTCTATTGCCATTATGATATAATTATATTATATTTTTTATTTTATAAGTATTTATAATATTATTTTTATTATGCCTGATGTAAAACCAATTGATGAAATCAAATATGACTTTAAGCAAAGTAAGCATGAGGTTGTCCCTAAATTGCCTATGAGAGCTATGATTGTCGGACCATCTGGAAGTGGAAAATCAACTTTACTTGTATCAATGATACTTGATATTTATAGAGGAGCATTTGAAAGAATTTTTATCTGGTCTCCATCTGTAAATTTGGATAGTATTTGGTTGCCTGTTAAAAAATACATTAAAGAAGGTTTGAAAGTAGATAATGATAAAGAACCGTGTTGGTGGGATGAGTTCAATGTTGAAGATTTAGAAAGAGTTATAGAAACTCAAAATAAAATAATTGAATACCAGAAAAAACAAGGAACGAAGAAATTATTTAATATTTTGGTAATTTTGGATGATGTATCTGATAATCCAGCAATAACAAGAAATAACAAATTGTTAAATTCTTTATTTTGTAGAGGTCGTCATAGTGGAATATCAACACTTGTAAGTCTTCAAAAATCATCAACCGTACCACCAATTATTAGGGTAAATATAAGTCATTTGTTTTATTGTAAAGTTAGAAATTTTAAAGAGATAGACATATTACAAGATGAATTATCAGCAATTGTTAGAAGCGATAATTTACATGAAAGCATGAGACTGCCACTGATGAACCGCATAGTTTTTTTTATATATTAACCTTTTAGAAAAGAACCCAGATAAAATGTTTATGAAAAAGTTTTCTCAATATTTGAAAATTGCTAATTAAATAATTAAATAATTTAATATATATTAATATTATATGATATTTTATGATTTACCAATAGAAATTAAAAACCTTGTATTATCTTATAATTTAGGTGATGTTAGATTATTAAAAATAAAAAATAGTAATATTGTTAAAAAATATATTAATAAATATAAACCAGTTTACAAGTCTTACAAATTAAATAACATACATTATTTTGAAATTGATAATATTAATATTAATAATGGAATATCATATATTTTTAATTTAAGTGAGTTAGATAAATTACATAAAAAAATATAAACCATTAGAATTATTAATTGAATACAAGCTACTTGCTACATTTGCTTCATATAAATGTATAAAGCATGTTTGCGATCGCGCTTTAACATCAAATAATTTATTTGATATTTATTATTTTCTTAGTAAATATTTTCATGAAATTAAATTAATCTATAATAGCGATAATAGCTATAATACGATTAATGCTATTTCAGAACAAGTGAACAAAATAACTATTAAAATCATCAATGATGATACACAAAGTTTTATTATGAGTAAATTTTATTCATATTTTTTTAATTAATAGCATTAAGCCATAGGCTTAATGTCATTAATTCAGAACAAACTATAACTACACAAATTTAACGCTGGTAATTTATAAATTAATTTGTCACTTTTTACTTTCTCCAGTTTTTCTAATCTTTCACTCATTTGCTTAATTGCGTTCAACTGTATTTCATCAATATTACTTAAATCTAGTTGTTCTACATCAATATCATTGATTTTATCAATACTTGAAGTTTCAACGTTACTATTTGAATTACCCATTATATATTATTATTTAGATTTTTATTATTTAGATTATAATACAACAACACACATTCAAAGGAATTAAAATTGGCCATAACAATCCCCAAGCAATAGGAGTTAATAGCATACAACACTTATCTACTCGTCTGTGGAATTTCTCTTCTTTCCTTTGTTTTTTTAATTCTTTAATATATTCATCAAATTTAGAATGACTAAAATTACATTCTTCATTATTACATTTATCTAATGTAAATTCATCTTTATTTAATTTAGTAATTCTACAACCACAATAACATTGTTTTTCTCTCATACTATTATTCTTAAATAATGCTTCTATTTTAACTTTCCTGTCAATGTCCATATATATATCTAGATATATTTATTATTTATTTATTTATTTATATATTTATATATTTATATATTTAAATTATTTTTTTTCTTTTTTAAATTCCTTAATTTCTTTTTCAAGTTTATCTACTTTATCATTTAATTCTAATACTGCTTTATGAACTAACACGGGTAACACTAAATAGTTCAATCCTAAATACTCTGTGTGTTTACTAACAACATTTTCAAATTCTTTCGGGATTGCTTTTAACACTTCATCTGCTATATATCCTATATGAGTTTTACCACCATCATTTCTATCGTGTCTTTTAAACTTCTTCGGTTTAAATTTCTTAATAACATTCATACAATTAGATTTGATATTGTCTATATCATATTTCAATCTTGAATCAGATGAATCCACAAACGTTCCGTTGATGGTTACTGTTGTTGCTGTTAAATCTATATTAGTTCCTGTTGATGGTTCAATTAAATTACACAACATTTTTTTCGTTCCTGCAACTGTTACATTTTCATTAAAAGTCGATGGAGCATTATTTGTAAAACTTTCAGTATTTACTGTAGTTCCAAATGTCTTATCAATAGATAATAAAACTGAAGGTGTACTTGAAGCATCTGAAACTCTAAACGCAGTGTTTGATGTTCTGAATATTACATCAATTGTAGATAAATTAGTTCCATCATAATAAGTTGATATTTCCGATGTTCCCATTTTAATATCAGTTCCAGTAGTCATTGAAATATTATCCAAAAATGAAACCGTTGTTAAATCAAATGATTGAATGGTATTAGTTGCTAAATATGCGTTTTGAACTGCTAAGTTAGTATCAACAGTTACTAATGTTCCACCATTAGGTGCTATATGATTGCTTCTTAATGCTCCATTAGTTTTAACATAAACATCATCAGCAAATAAATTACCCATAAAATCAGCAGTAGCAGTATTAAAAGTCCATCCGCTAGAAATATTAACAGCTCCGACTATATTAGATTGAACGGCAGGGTCTCCACAAATGAACCTAATTGAAGAATTAGCATCACTATTCCTCATATCAAAAGATGAAAAAGCACTAACATATCTATATAATTCACAATTTGTATCAATTGTTAATTTACCATCACTAGCAATATTAACATCATC